TTTGAGAAGTGTTTGTTTAACTTTGCTTAGAAGAAACCCACTCACTTGGAAGAAAAGATTCAGAGATGTTTTCAACATCCATAAACAAAGCCAAATATTTTGACTGTGGCAATGTAGTGACTGCCATGCATTCATGCAGACTCAGAAGCACTTTCTGCTAAGCACATGATCAGGCTGGGGGATATTTGGTCTGCCTGCTGTTTGTTGCTTCATTCAGAATAAAGTACCAGTGCTCTGAATCTAAATTGTGAATACATTATACTATTTTGAGCACAGGAAATGTTTTAATCTTTTCTGATTTTTAGCATACTTGAGAAGGACCATGTGCAGACATTCTTGCCTGTATTATTTATTGAGGAAAGAAACCATTAGCTGCAGCAAGAACTGTGTCTCGGCTATGCAGTTACACTTCTGGCCTGTCATCTGCCACTAATGCCTAGGGGAAAAAGAGCTTCTATTGCAGAATTATGCTGAAAAAGAAACAAAGCACCTGTCTGCCAGGGAAATCCTGACTTGGCTTGCTCAGCAATAGTGGCCAGGTCTACTGGCTCCATCTCTTGTTAAACATTCTTGTTATGGGCTAGTTCTGGTTTGTGGCTCTCTGCTCAGGTTTCTATAGCTCACCTGTGAATAAATTCTGTGAATGTTGATGCTTGCAGCCTAGCACACTGCTTCTCTGCATGACTTGCAAGAGCCCTGGCCCCAGATTTACAACCTGATCAGCACCAGCTCTCTCTTCTCAAAAGCAGAGTATAGAGTGAGTTCAGCAGTTTCCATCCAGGCCAGAAGTGTCCCCACCTTGCCTTTTATATCATCCACTCTCTGCATTAAAATTCCATGCTGAGTATCCATAAAGAGTATAAACATATTTTGGAAATATATGTGAGACCATAAAATCTCAGGTGATGCTCTGCACTTTTTAGTTCTCTGCTTTAAAGGGGTCTCACAAGATACTTTACTGGCTAAGTTACTGGATAGGGAACGGCTTGTGGATGGAGCTAAGATCTTCCTGGAAATTTTTTCCAAAGCAGGCAAGTCTTCTCTGAGCCCCTTTGATCTTCAGGAAGAAAACCTCCCAGGAGACCTACAGCTCTTCCTGTCTACTTCCAGGCTAAACAGAACAGTATTTTTTTTCTCCCTTTTTTCTCTTATTGAAGCATTTTGCCTTATGGGCACAGCTTCCCTCCACAACAACCTGATTTTAATTGTCTTTTAAAAGAAGGGAGAGATGGACTGGATTAAAAAAAAAAACAAAAAAAACCCCAAAAAACCAAAACAAAACAGCAAAAACTGAGTCCAGCCAAATCTTTGTCAGAGCAGAACCAACCTGAAGGGAGATTAAGGTTGTGTCACGTCCTGCTCAGAAAAGGGAGACAAGTGTCTTAGGTTTGTAAACCCTCAACAGAGTTGACAACTGTGAGGCAAGTCTCAAAGTCCATACATAAGCATTTATTAATTTCCCACAATGTATTAATTGGATACATAATAATTGACTAAGTATATGATGAATTATGGCAGGTGGTATGATATGCATGCATTACTTAATGATAACAAGGGGGAAAAGAGAAGAGAGATAGAAATGGAGATGGGGACAAAAATAGAGATTGCTGGTCTGGGTTTCTGCACTGGTCCCTGCCAATAAGTGTTCAAGAATGCATTCATCTTCTTCGCTTCACTTCTGTTATTCTTGCCCCCCCCTCAATTTATACATACTTTCCTTGGGTTGCTCCCCTAGGTCGACCTACATATCTATGTATCGCATGTATGGGGAGGAGTAAGGTGCTTCATGGGATGATGTAACTAGCATGATCTTGTTAATTTCATTAGCATATGCAAGGACATCTGTTTTAATATGAATTTCATGGATAATGAAGCAAAGGTCATTCACCAGACAGATGGCGCTTGAAACTTTACAAGATGCATCAGAGCAAAACCATCCTGTGTCCACAGGGCCCCCTCCTCCCACTGTATCCTGTGCTTTACAGGCAACCTTATCAGCTCCAGCCTCCACATTATCCACCCTGTGACTATAGTTTCATTACTTGCAAGTGCTTGAGACATTCCTTGGCTTGGAGGGACTTTGCTCCCCCCCCACCCCTTATCTTTCTCTCATCCTTGTTCATGCTTCTCTCAGGCTGATTTTCTCAATCCTTGTTTTCGGGGAGTTCCAAGTCATCCCTTAAGTGATGAGAAGGTGTCCCTAATTAGCCACGTGCAGAGAGGAAGAGCCAGGGAGAGGCAGAGTGGCTGTGCACCCCACTGTGCAGCATGAGCCAGCACCTATATGCACAATACAGGGCTCCTAAATCCACAACACATGCCCCTGACTGGGAGCACAACACCTACAGCATCAAACAAGCTATCAGACCTGCCGCAGCACGTCCAACTTCAATAACTGTGTTACACTAAGTTGTGTGTGTGTAGGCTCACAAACAAAGGTGGCCTTTTCTGCAAAGCTGATTTTGCAGCTACATGTAAGACAAACTCTTGACGGTGTTCTCTGCAAAACCAGGGGCAGCATTAAACTTGTGCATGTTGTGCCAGCACGGGTTGTATCTTCTCTGTATCCACAGCCTGCTCCCTTGCTTCTGCCTGCCCAGCAATATAGACTTCAGTGCTTGTAGAGAAGAGGCCTTCCCTTGGCATAAACGAGCCAAACAGTGCTGAGGTTCTTTTTTCCAAGATCACTCAGGCTAGTGTTTAACCTGTGGCAAGTAAGAAACTGGACGTTGTCGTTGTTTTCAAAGTATTTGTTTTGTACATACGGAATTGGGTATTTAAGGCATTGCAGAATTCGGTGGGACATCAGTTAGGTTCCTGCAAGCTACTTTGGCCTGTGCATCCAATGCAGAGCAAATCAACTGCAACCCTGAGAGCTGGGAGAAACTGCTTGAAGCAGAACTAGAGGAAAAAGAAGCAGCAATATCAAGGCAAGAAAACTCCCAAGCAGAGGGGTGAGGTACTTGTCTGCTTTGGAAAGGACACTTTCAGGCACTGCACTGTATACCTTATAAGATCTCGATAGCAGGACTATTGTATGACGATAATATGACTTTATTGACAAACCATTTAATCAATGGAACGATATAACTCAACTCCCATCAGCTGTTTTCCACGAGAGAAAGCAGAAAAGCTGCAGTGATTCTGTTCTGAATGCAGCACAGGCAGCTCTGGCATCCCTTGGAGTGATGCTGGGCCAAATGGGAGCTCTTCATCTTGCTTTCCTGCTTTCTTCCAGAGCTGTTACTAAGCAGACAACAGACACCCACGATAAGCACAGAAGCATGGACTGCCCTGTCCCCCACCAGCCATGATCCTTCTAGCCCATATAAGCCCAGGGCATCGATTTCCATGGCACTCATGAACTGACCAAGAGTACACAGCTCCACAAAGCAACAACAAGTTGCCATGCCCAAAGCAGAGGTCTTGTTTACTTTGCTTTGCTCTTGGCTCACAGAAGTTTTCTCCCAACCCTGGCCAAATTCTAACTTCCAAGCCAGGGCACAGCTTGTGGCAAATAATTTTGAATTAAGTTTCAGCTCACTACGTATTGCCAACATAAATCAGCCTCTGCACAGAGAGGCTTATAAAGGCTCATGCGAAGCGTGATTTGAAGTTGTGTGTTAGTTTTAGCTTGTACAGAAAGTAATTTGTGTCAGTGTTCAGGGAAAAAGAAAGGCCCGTGTTTTGACAGAGAAGGGAGAAAATACTTAAGCATTGCAAGGGCCAATATTTTGTTTTACAGGATTTTTTTTAGACACTGTAACTGCTAGTTTGGCTGCCGTCCTTACGACTCTACGTAGTAATGCTCACTCGGATTGCTAACCCAAAGCATATTGCTGATGTGAGCTTCCCGAGAGTCTAAGTGAACAATTATCCTGTTTCTCTTAGTGGTTAGCCAGACCCGTAGTGACTGAATAATACTGCTGTCTTAATCTGTAGTTTTTGATTGACATTTCAGACCTTGAATTTTTTGAAGAAATCTGGTCCTTTAATACGTGAAGCCATTCATGATAGCTGCAAGAGGTGTCTTGCAGCTGGCTGGCTGTCTCCCAGGCCAGCTGATGTCCAGCCACCCAGTTTGGGTCAGGTGAGTGCCTATGAGGGAATCAAGGGGGAAATACATCCATCTTGCCTGACAGGGCTGTAGAGGCCACAAGACGTGGTAACCTGATGTTCCCATTATTTGCGAGTTGCACTGAGCTGCAGGTGTTGGCTTTAGTCAGCAGAAGTGATAGTACTCTTAGATCCAAACTAGGGAGTTTGACGGGGAACAGCCCTGATAGGCCTGTCTCTAGAGACCCGTCTATAAATTCTGTGCCACAGATACGCGCAAGGAAGCGTGCAGGCCGTGCTGGTCATGCACAACACAAAGCATCTTTGCCTCAGACCCCCCGTGGCCCCCGTCGGTGTCTCCGAGCGTTGGGCTCAGTGCAGCAGCTGACGACGGGGGGGTCTCACTGGGATGCGAGCTGTTGCAAACATCAGCTGGCTGCACCAGACATGATCACCTGCTCCCAAGGAAGTGGGCTGTGGTAAACAATTACTGCTGCCAGCTCCAGTACAGCCGGCACGTCGTCCCGTAACTTCATGAATTACTTGCTGCTGTTCTGTGCAGTGCACTCGCTGTAATTAGTTAACTGCTTTACGCTTTTTATTCATCAGAATGATCGCCATCCTCGCTTCAGAGAGGGGGCAGGTGCCAGAAAGTCTGAATTACGCCCATATCGGAAGATCCTTCCTAGAGTTCAAAGGCAGCTGGCTGCAGAGAGAGCCAGGCCTTACCATTTGCCTTCGTCGGCCTTGAAATGCAGGTGAATTTCTCTTTGACGTGAGAATTACATCCCTTGGTCAACTTAAAATGGGATTTCTCTTCCCTAGGAGGCAGTGATTTAGGAAATTAAGCTTGAAATGTACAGAAATAACTAAGAAAAAAGGAAATGGCGGTAACTTGTGCGTGGACCTGATACATCCCCCCAACAGTGAGGGCTCACCTCTATTTCTCGTTCATTGAATGTCTTTCTTACATCTCATCTCAAGATTTCTTGAACGCCGTGTGATTTTCTTCCTTAGTTTATTTATGTTCATATTTTAAATTGGGTATCTTAACAGGTTGCTGGGTTTGGTGGATCGTCCTGTCCCTTCATGTTCTGCAGCACAGGGTGGTAGCTGGCAGTCACCATTGTTACAAAAGAATTCTTCAAGAGCACCAGAGTTCAATTTGCTACAGACTCCTCTTGTGGTTAAGGTTTGTATTTGGAAAAACAGTAAGAACCGACCAAACAAATGGCCTGTAAACTTTGTTTAAAATGAAACCACCAGAATGTTTGACACAAACACTGCTGGATTCAAACTGTGTCAAATTTTCAGAGCATGTGGGGTGGTAGTACATACAGTCCTTTTGGAAGCAGGAAGTTGGGAAAAGCCTTGAAGAGGGCAAGTTTAGTTCTAAGCTAATTGCAGTAGGCACGTTGTCCCATAACTTCATGAATTGTGCAGAGCAAAGGAAGTTAAAATTGGGCTTTTCAATATGCTTAGACCCTTAAAGATGCAGTTTGTGGCTTAACCGTCTCGTTATGCAAGCGCTCAGCAGCTCTGCCCAGTTTGACTTGCATAGCCACCAGCAAGAACGTGCATGCTTCAGTTTCTTAATCCGGTGAAGTGAGTGACAGCTAAGTGATGTCTGTTAAGGGATGTCAGTCTCTGTCCAACTCAGTGATGGCTTTTGGCAGTAATTGTACTGGTTAATTGTTTGCGCTAAACTGTGTGTCCATTCAGTGCCTTCAAACTCTTCTCCTGTAAGGAAGTAACAACATTTGACCTGTCTTCTTGGTGCGGGTCTCTTTGCCTTTGCCTGCCTGAACAAAGTAGTTGTGATCTCTCTGAATGACAGCCTTTTTCTTCTCATTGAATATCGTCTCTCTCATTGAGCTAGTTTCCTTCTCCCCCTTTCAAGCCCTTTCCATACTGTAAATTCTTCTTCCAAGCCGAGGTAAGAAGACCTGGATGCTTCTAGGTGAAGATGGGTAGGTATTTGTACAGCAGCCCCTTAATTTGGCGTAGCGTGCGAATGGATTCATCAGTGAAGCAATAAGCTCTCGCTGTTGTTTTGCTGATTGCCATTTTGCATGGCAGTGTGTTCAGTGGCAGTAGCTGGGGTAACATTTGAAGTGGTACGCCTTTTAGAGAGCAGAGTAGGAATTGCAAAAATTACTGGGAAGGGAGAGAACAATGCAGAAATCAAGACGCCATATCCTTGTTTCCTCAGGAAATTAATTTGAAAAATCACATTTTAGTTGATGTTGGTGGGAAAAACCAACCAACCAACCAACATACCAAAAGAAAACCAAAAATCCACAAGATCCTGGGGGGTTTTATCGTTAAGATTTTCATACCTTTGGAGAAAGAGCAGTGCAGAGGTTAACTTTGTCCTCCCTGCCTCTGCAACCTCAGTTTGTAATGGAAACTAATGCTTTGGAGAAGTGGAGTCTTCCGTTTTGAAGGTACGAATTGGTTTTCAATTAAATATTTTTCTTTCTTTTCATAGAAAGCTGAAGTTTTGGCCACATCTGCTTCTGGTTTTCCCGGCTTTACTCCTCGGTCTATCCTCAGATCCAGCGTTCGCAGCACACCCCAGGCAACTCCCTCTGCGTTTCCAGGAGAATCAGTTACTCCTCCTCCCAGAGCAAACAAACACAGAGTGTCTTTCAAGGAAGGGAACTCAGATGAGAAATGGACTGTTGGGGTAAGCTGGGCTGTAGTTAGTGGATTTTACAGTCAAAGGCTTTCTAGTCTGTTATTTGGTTTAGAATTTTGGACAGTTTACCAGAACTCCTTATATTGAGACCTGGACCTGCGATCCGGAATGGCAGACTTGAATTTGGTCAAAAAAGGTTCCGCTAGACCTTCTGTAACATCACCCGTCGGCAGGCAGATATTCAAAATGCATGTCGGTGTCCTTGGCGGTTTCGCTCAAGCGTTGTTAGGAGCTGTGGTTGTTCCAAATTGTTAGCTCAGCTTCCCGCGATGCCTTTTCAAGCGGTGGTATGGCAGGAAGGTGAGGAATACAGCTTGAGCCATTGTTTGGGCTTGTTAAGGTTTGTGCATCTGAAAGCAGCAGAAGTCATGAGCTGCATTTACTTTTGATCTCTCTTTCTGCGAGGCTGAGTTTGCTTAAGTTACGGTAAAAACAGACTCGGGATGAAGAGAGCTGGTCTGTCGCCTGTTCTCTAGCCCCAAAGTTCTGGGGTTTGCTTCTTGCCTCGCACTGGGCGTAGCATTCATACTGCTGTCAAACGAAGTTGGTCCACCTGCTAGTTGCCCCCTTCTACTCGGCCTTTGGTCCCGTCGGTTGGATTCTCTGACCCAGCTCATCAGGCAGTTGCGGAAGGACCGTGCCAAGACCAGGGGCAGAACAGGGCCGTGTGCTCGTGTCTACATGTCGGAGCTCTCTGCAGGGTACAAACAAGTTGTCAGGATCTGGTTTTGTTACACCTCTTACTGCCTGTTGTAAAGGGCTCCTCAAAGGTAACAAGAGGTGTATCGGAATAAGGTTCTGCTGAGTGCCAGAACTGTTTTAACTGACAGTTGTCGGTTCTGTTACTGATCTAGTCTGCCTTCCACTTTGCTAAAATTACCGGGTGAAGTTGGCGTGTGCTGATGGGTAGAACTTGCTGCTGTTCTGTGCAGTGCACTCGCTGTAATTAGTTAACTGCTTTACGCTTTTTATTCATCAGAATGATCGCCATCCTCACTTCAGAAAGACTGAATTATACCCATGTCGGAAGATCCGTTCTAGAGTTCAAAGGCAGCTGGCTGCAGAGAGAGCCAGGCCTTACCATTTGCCTTCGTCGGCCTTAAGAGGAGGTAATTTTTAGCGCGGGGAATACAGCGGTCAAGAAACGCTCACTTTGATAACACAAGGCTGATAGGTTTTCCCTTGTGCTTTACAGTTGCGAGACCAAAGCCATTATCAGGAGCAACAAAACCAGCCAATTCAGGATATTTGGGTGTCATAGCAACTTTCATGAGTAATGTGTTATCCAGAATTGGAGCAGCTTTGGGCAGGAAATGAGCAGAAAACCATTTCCTCATGATATGATAGGTAAGCAGCCTTTTAACAAAGTTCAGTTTTGAGCTACGTGTGTGGAGAGGAATAGTGAAAAATCAATTTGGATTATGTTAGTTTTCTGGAAGGAAGGTGTACCTGAATAAATTTTGATTGGTGCCGCGATTGAGAGACGGAGACCCAGCTCGATGCAAGGCAGGATCCACTTTATTGAACACAACAACCGCTTTTATATTCCAAACAGACAAAGAGAGACGTGTGTTTTAAGCTGATTGGCACAATGGTTAATCACCTAATACATATTGCAAAAATTGAGCTCATAATTGGCTAATGTCTAAGGTCAGCTTGACTTTTTCTGCAGTTAATTTTCTGCTAGCTCACAGCATTCTTCCTCTTGTTTAACTTCTACTCCTACATCTTGTTTCTATAGCACAAGCTTATCTTTAGTTACGAAACCAGCCCTCCAGGAATAAATCGTCCTTGGCTTCAGGGTTGTGACAGTCTGTTTACAGATTGTGCAAGTTACGAGATGCCAAGTTGAGCACGTCCTTCCTAATCAGCTCTGTCTCGCTGCAAGAAGGAGAGACCAGGCTGCCCCCAACAGATTGGCTTTTTTGTAATCAGTTCATCCAAAGTAATATTTGGAGAGAGAGTTTTTCTGCTATGATAATCTTATTTATGCCAAGACCTATACTGACACGATGGTAAATGTGTTTTCAAGAATTTAAGACAGCTGAAACTAGAACTGTGGTTGCCACCAAGCTCTTGGTGTACTGCTTTTGAGACACTTGGTTATGTGGCCAAACAGGGATCTTTGACCACTTCCTGCCCAGTGTCTGCTTCGTTTCTGCCTTTCCTTCTTAACATCGGGTGGAATTGTAACGAGCGGAAAAGAGGCTGGTGGTTGTCAGATGATTTTCCTTCAGGGGCGATGGTCAAATAAACCTGAATTCCGGTATGTTTGGACTTCAGGGGAGTGAAAGTCAGTTACCTTTCCCTGTTTGTTCTAGTCCTAGAGTTGCAGAGCCACCAGCTGTACCTCGTCCTCCACCTGAGGCAGAGTTGCACAGTGTGGTTTTTGGGACACCAGGGACACAAATATCAGTATATGTTGGGGGGGTTTTTTGTCTTCCCTTTACAAAAACCACCTGCATGTTATTGACTGTGAGGTTTTGTTGGCTTTTTTTTTGTATTTTAATAAAGGTAACCGACGATGATATAGCACTGCCTGGGGATTCATGGGAGCATCATCATGGAATGGTGGAGGATGCATCGTCTGAGACTAGAGATAAGGCAACTCTGTTTACTCTGAGCAATCCTGAGGAGGATCGTGCTGAAGTGGAAGCGTTTTCAAAAAGCATACCTGGAGATGGTTTGGAGAAAATGGATGTCAGCAAAGAAAACAGCAACTTCTCTGCCCGTTCAGACCAAACTACTTTGGAGTATCACGATGCAAAATCACCTGGCGGTTTTTCATCTGTTCCCATGTGCCGAATCGCAAATAGCTTAGCTGTTGATTTCTGGTGGCGAAAAAACAAGCTACAGGCAGCAGCCAGCCCGTGTTTTCTCATGAGTTGATAGGCAGTGCTTTTCACCTCTTAGTCTAGGCCAATCTGAAAATACTATGAAATTGTAGACTCTCAAGTAAGAAGGTAGCAGTTTTTTCTTATTTTGTTGGTACTTTTGTCTTCTGTGCAAAACTTGCAGGTTTCCAATCCAGGAATGCTTTTTTTTTTCTCGGCAAAGTAGTCCAGGTAACGAGTCTCTTGGATGTGCTTGGAGATAAATGTTCTGTGGTTCCTGTTGAATTCAAGCCGTTCCTAAAATAAAATGTGTTTTTCAAAGCCCTCTGCCGTGTGGATGACCAGTATGCGAGGGAGAGGGAAAAATGCAAGTTACAGTTACCGACGTGTCCGTTGGTTCAGGTCGCTTACTCCTTGGCTGTGTATCCCCTGGCATAGTTTAAGAGCAGGCTTATCCCACAGCAGTCCTTGCTGTGGTGTGCCTTGCTGTTCAACTTGGCTTAAATGCAGACAAAAGCAGGAGCTATCGCTGCGTGACCGATCGCTTGCCTTTTGGTGCTACAACCGTATTTTCAGTACACAGAGAAGGGTGCAGGGAAGTAGTGTGTGATTTCTGTGAGCACCAACAGCACAAGCATATGTGGCCCTCAGAATCCAGGGCGCTGGAAGGCCTTTACGTTTCATCTAGCCTAGTGATCTCGTAGTGGCTTCCGAAAGGGCGAGAACGGTATGCTCGTCTCAGCCGGATCCAACAGCTATGCAGGCCAGGTAAGATTTTACTCAAAGAACCAACTACAAGCAGTTGTAGCTAATACACGGTCGTAGACTGCTCATTTAGTTTATCTCCCATTATTAACGTTCATGTAAGCGTACTGCAGGTGACTGGCACGGGTCGGTTTACTGGTTGGAAGCCTTACCTAGCTTTTGCCTACGCTCCCGTCATCCCGGAACTCGGTATTACTTTCAAGCACGTTTGCAAATCTTGATTCAACCTGTTAGTGGGGGCACGCGTCCCGGGCAGCAGTGCTTGTGTATGCGTTTGCTTGCTCATCTGTGAAGAGGATGCACTCGATCGTCGTTTAGAGCGAGGTGTTGTGTGATCTGGCCCAAGGAGCGCTGGAGAACGCCTGGCAAGGTTATAACGCTGCTCTGCTGGCGTACGGGCAGGCCGGCTCGGGAAGAGCTGTTGGACGATCGGCTGCGCTGCAAACAGAGGCCCGGTGCCCGTTGTGTGCAAAGAGCTCTTCAAAGCCACCCAGCATTGGGAAAAGTACAAGCAGTGCCAGGTGGGATTAGCGCAAAGTGTCACTTCTTTCCAACACCTTTCCAGGCGGTACTTTAAAAGGCTGGGTTACTCTCAAATCGGAAAAATGGGAACCGTGACTCTGGAGCAGCTTCCGGTACAAGACAGAGTGGATCCTCTAAAATACTGTGGGAAACAAAGTTGAGGTAGTACAGCTGGATTTACAGATGGGTATGCATGAGAAAGTCTTCCCAGCACCTCGGTAAGGCAAATTAATGCCGCCTTCTGTACAGCTTCATAGGGTACAGAAGCTTTACAGTGCTGCGCCTCTCCGCTACAGCAGGAGCCAAGTTTTCAGCCATGCAGTACAGCTTTTGTAGCTGCTGGATGCTCCCACTCCATCAGCATCCTGCGCTGGTTGTCCAGCGGATTCGAGCACTGCTGGAAGCAGAAAGCTTCACGCCCGTGCAGCAGGGCCGTCTGTCTGTGAGAGTACTGCCCTGGTTACTGAGGGCTGCTTGCGATTTACTCCTGTGTTCCTTCCCCTTCAGAAAGTGCTTTGTCCTCCCAAACCAGCCTCCCCCGCTGTGTGCCAGCAGGAACGACGCAGGGATGCCGTTTGTGAACGTGTTTCTGTGGAAACTCATTCCTTCCCATCTCGCTTGCCGTACCAATGTGGAAATGAAATCCCTATCTGTAGTCGAGTGTTGGAGAATGGCTCAGAGACAAGGGTCCTGAGCCCACCGAGCAATTGTATGATCAGAGCCTGCTCTAGCTGCTGATGCTGGGCCTCACTAGGGTTTGCTTGCAGCTGCTCGCAGCTGCTGATACCTGAGGAATGTCAAGGACACTTCAGCCTTGTGTACCGTGGTGTGTCGAAAACAGGTTGAGAGGAATTAGGAATAGTGGTCTAAGAAACCTAGTGTTATGATAACGGTGGTCTGAGAAACATTGTGTTACGGTACTGTTGTGTATCGAAAACAAGTAAACAGGAATCAGAAATAGTAGCATGAGAAACTTAGTGTTATGAGAAACTTGTGCTGTAAGCTAACTGCAAGTAGGTGGACCGTGAGAATACGACCCTTAGAGCTTAAGCCAATCAGCTAGTGACTAGTAGGCATAATTAGTAGAAGGATTATAAAAGGCTGTAATGAAAATCAATAAACTGAAGCACACTTTATCACTCATACTGAGTCGGCTACGTTCTTCCTCCTTGGCCTGAGTCCTCGGCTCGCCCAGCCCGGCAGTCGAGTTACTCCTATTACGCACAGTTCTTGGACAGAGATAAAAAAGCATGTCGTGGCTCTTTATTTTTACGTTTGATTTTGAACCATAGCCTTGCTGCTACTGACTGACCAGATTTTGTTTTGAAGTCAGCAGATTGAGGCCTCCTCTGCGGCTTGTTGCGATTCAAGCTCGCGAGTGACACCGCGGGCGTGCTGTCACTCCGGGGGTTCCCACGCACGCCCTTCGTTTACAGAGCCCCAGAAGGTCAGCATGGCCTCAAGCCCAGCTATCTTCTGTGCCCCCACCCTGGGCTCCCTCCCTCACCGCTGGCTGAGACACCCGGTCTTCCCAGAGACGGGTTTTCCTCCTGCTCACTGGCTAGCCCACCCTCGAGTCTGCCAGCAGTTTAGTCCCCGCTGTACTAAAAAGATGTGGGCAGGCTGGAGAGGGTCCAGAAAAGGGCCACAAAGATGATCAAAGGACTGGGAAGCCTGCCAAGTGAGGAAGGGCCGAGAGAAGGGACTGACAAGTACAAATGCAAAATAACAAAGGTGTTAATTTTCAGATACATTCCTTGAGGATTTCAACGGGTGGCTTTAACTACTTGACCGGAATCGGGCGGGTTGGTCTTCCTCTGCTCGGTACTTTTACTGAAGGAAAGGGCGGTGACTGTGACTTCTCGGCAGTTTT